ATTATGACCCCACCATACCCCAGGGGATCATGATTTGAACAAAGTTGAATCTTTAATACCTGAGGATGCTTACATTTCAATATGACTAAACAAGGCTTTGCTGTTCTTGAGAAGAAGATTTTTAAAGTTTTTTCCTATATATTCCTGTGTAAATCTTTGAACTCCCATTGTGGCCCCACCCTAACCCCAGGGGTCATGATTTGAACAAATTTTAATCTACACTATCTGGGGATGCTTACATACCGATATGACTAAACAATGTTTTGCTGTTCTTGAGAAGAAGATTTTTGAAGTTTTTTCCTATATATTCCTATGTAAAACTTTGAACTCCCATTGTGGCCCTACTCTACCCCTGGGAGGTCATGATTTGAACAAACTTGAATCTACACTACCTGAGGATGCTTCCATATCAATATGACTAAACAAGGCTTTGCTGATCTTGAGAAGAAGATTTTTCCTACATATTCCTATGTAAAACTTTGATCCTCCATTGTGGCCCACCCCAACCCCAGGGGTTATGATTTGAACAAACTTGAATCTACACAACCTGAGGATGCCTCCATATTAATATGACAAATCATGGCTTTGATGTTCTTGAGAAGAAGAGTTTTAAAGATATTTCCCTATATATTTCTATGTAAAACTTTGATCCCGCATTGTTACCCCACCTAACCCCCGGGGGTCATGAATTGCATAAACTTGAATCTACAATATCTGAGGATGATTCCATATCAATATGACAAATCATGGCTTTGCTGTTTTTGAGAAAAAGATTTTTTAAAGTCTTTTCCTATATATTCCTATAGAAAACTTTGATCCCCCATTTTGGCCCCACCCTACCCCAAGGGGTCATGATTTGAACAAACTTGAATTTACACTATATAACAAAGGTTTCCTATAAGTTTCAACTTTTTTGGGCCAGTGGTTCTGGAGAAGAAGATTTTTAAAATATGCCACCAAATTTTCACTATTTTTGAATTATCTTCTCTTGAATGAGGGCGTGGCCCATCATTTGAACAAATTTGAATCCCCTTCACCCAAGGATGCTTTGTGGCAAGTTTGGTTGAAATTGGCCCAGTGGTTCTGGTGAAGAAGTCGAAAATGTGAAAAGTTTACAGACGGACGGACAGACAGACAGCTAGACGGACTACAGGCAAAATGTGATCAGAAAAGGTCACTTGAGCTTTCAGCTCAGGTGAGCTAAAAAAAAAAACAAAAACAAAAAACACCCCTAATTTACTGTCCATGCAAATCTTGGAATTTGCCAGTGCTCAACCTTACAGTGAAAAAAAGTGGGGAGGCCTACCAGCATCTAATTGGGTCCGGAAAACGGACCCTTCCCAATTGAGAATCACAAACTGTACATTGTGTGTATTATAAAGAAATTAAATTGCGTTAGTTTAAAACATAATTGAACTTACTCTGTTGTTTTTATCTTTACCTTAGAACAATCAATTTTGTTTAATAGTTTTTTTTTTTTAAATCATTGTATGAAAGTAAAATTCCCAATTTGACCCAAAACGTCGATGATTTTCCCAATCTAGATTACAGCTCACAGATAATACAGTGCGCAAACAGACTACAGACTTTGGTCAGATAAGTTCGTTGAATTCTGTCAGGAACTAAGACAGCCATGAGCTAGAATTCCACCGTGTATATATATATATATATATATATATATATATATATATATATATATATATATATATATATATATATATATATATATATATATATCTCTGAGTCATTGTAACAATCGATGTCATATCTGAAAGGTCAATGTTTTCGGACTTCATGTCCGGGCAATAGGAACTGGAAGGAACTGAGTTGTTGTTGCTGGTGACATAAATGCCCGTCACTGTCTTGACTCAAGGTTACTGGGCAAGGAGCTGTCGGAAAAAGTAGCGCAATTTGTATAATAATTGGTAAATAGGGAGACATCTGTTTTCGTCAATGAATTAGTACTTCGCCTCGGATGTTTGTGTATAGGAAAAATATGAAAATATCAAAATATTTAGCTGACAAGTGTTAAATAACTTCTTATTGCAATTCTTAAAACTGAAAAATTTAAAGGGAAAAATAAGGTAATGAATATGCAATTTTGTGATCTCGCAGAACAATGGGCGAGCACGAGAACAACACTATTTACAGAGTTTCGTATATATCATGTATCATGATAGGTAGTCTCTGCTGGATATGGAGTTCGGTCCTTGATTTAGATGAGACTGTATAAACCAAGGTTTCACGTGTTCCAGTAGCTCCTGGTTTAAAAAAAGTTCCATCACTGCTCATTGGACATAGTGCCGATTTTAGGTCTAAATTATTTTTAGCCTTCCAGGGGTAATATTCAGTGTCCCAACTTTCAATCCTACTAATGTGTTCGGGGACTTTTATTTTTCGGTGTTCTACAAATTATAATACCCGAGGAGTTCGCAGTAGCTCTGACGAGAATTAGCGAGACTATAGCGAGATAAGGTAATTTATTCACGGAAATCTGGCGAGGAAGTGACTAGCACGTGGAGACATGGTAAACAGAAAAGTTAAATGTTGCGTTTCAGTTTTCACCACTGTGTAATATCAGTAGAAATGTACTCCAGTCTCTCATGAATTCATTCAGACTTCAATAAGTATTCTTTCTGCATTTAGAGGCAAACACCTAATTTAGTGCGGGTATTACTGTGTTATGATAGCATCTAGATTTTAAACGATGTTTTCAGGATCAGTAAGACATGGGTAAGATATACTATAGGTATGGTGGACTATTTCTGTTTGTAGGATCTTTTTATGGTGGACTATTTCTTTTTGTAGGATCTTTTTTTATGAAAGCCTCAGGGCGCTTCATTTAATCAATAAATATCGGTGGAAAATTTAGAAGAAGGTCCTATTACAGGAAATCTTATATTTGGACGAATGATCAACTGTAAACAATATAGTATACGTCTTGTACATTATAAATGTCTTTGATAGCCCTGTAAATAACCGTCAAATATCGATTTTCTTGGATTTCCTTCATAGTTAAGTAATTAGAATCCCTTCCATTAATAATTGTACGGTTAAGGATTACAGCTCCCCTTTAAAATTTCTTAAAAGTACTTGAATCCACCAGGAAATTTCGTTGGAAACGCATGGAATTCTTTTCTTTATTTGCTTTTCTCATTATTTTTTAATATTATGATAAAAAAAAGTTTTGTGTAAAAGTAACAGATTTACAAACATTTTAATTTTCCTTTATACGCCAGGAGCTTTGTTTTTTCTCTAAACATTCAAAATAGGAAGAAGGATGCAATTCATAGACTTAAATCCAAATCACATGTCGTATCAGCCCAGGAGCCCAGAACTGATATAACAGAAGGTATGAATTCTAGAATGCACATATTCTATTCATCGTATTTTAATAAAAAAGTTCAAATATACTGTTTTAGAATTTGAAGTCATTTAAGAATTGTTTTGTGCGTGTTGATATCTTTCTTTTAAATTAAATGGCGACAATTTGAGTCTTTTTAAAACTTTTGAAATCCACAAACTCGGGTACATGATTTCTGTTACATGTATATTTTTTTAAAATTGAGTTATGTTTTAAATTTTGAATTTAGCGGGTGGCAGTAACGAAATACAAAATTTACAACATGACAGCTAGTTGTCAAGTAAATTTTGTATTTACTGCCACGGTAAATTCAAAATAAATAACATGACAGTTAACTTAGGGAAACATGCTGAACAAAAAATTGAAATACCTGGATTGGTATATATTTTGCGACTTACTTGAGTTATAAATTGTACATATATAAGGAATCTCTTAAGTATATTTTTAAAATGTACACTTCCTATCATGTTCAAATTTGTATTTTGCCATCAGCCTTATGATCTAGATCTATACATTTTTTTTTTTTAAAAATCACTTTATAGGACATTGTAAAGAAACTTTGAATGATTCATTTTACTTATATAAGCATGGATTTATAGTTGTTATTTTCATGATTAAAAAGAAACAAAAACAAACTTTGTATCATCTGTCATGTACGTAAATTAATGAAAAAGGTGAAGATAACGAACAATGATCGATTTCAAACATCCGTAGACAATACAAATATATGAACAGGGCATAAAACACGGACCCCTTGAAATTTCAGAGATAGGATCAGGTGCCTAGGAGGAGTAAGCATCCCCTGTTGAACGGTAATACCCGCCTTGAGCCCTATGTACCGATCAGGTAGACAGAACATTCCGTAGTCAAATTCAGTATAAAACAAAGACCTAATATTTGTTTGAAACATGCCAGGCAACATACAACTCATTGACAGGTTATATTTTCTAACAAGGTAATGATATCGACCATAGAATTTATGAAATTCTGACATTAAACGAGGTAGCTGAAATCCCTGTAACATCAACTCATCTATCAGTAGGCTGTCTTGGTAAAAATTGATCGTACTCGGAACATGCTCGTGAGTATCAAATAAGTTGGGAGATGTAAACACCATATCCAGGTGATAGTGGGGTATAACTACATAAATAAGGAAACTTTAAGTATTATCCGGATTTATATCCATTTTTTTTCCACGCCTGTCTGGTTTTGGACGGTCATTGATATCGGGTATGACGTCACTTTTATCGCATAGTGTAGAATAGATGTATTGAGTACTAAATTTTCTGCAATGTCACAACCGCATTAACAAAGGGAATGTTTTATTGCATAAGTATATGATAAAGACAAACTATGCTTTAAAGTAACTTCTGCGCTTATACAAACATTTTTAAAAGGGTAAAAATCAATAAGCAAATTGTTTTGAGGAAAAAAGAAGAGATGAAGCATGAATATTTTCTTGAAATTTTGAATGAAAGGACTTTAGTTGACTCTTGAAAAGTTAAAATGTTGATTTAATCGTTTCAGGCACCACGGAACCGAATACAATAGTTCCACTATCATGTCCAGAATTTGTCAGAGGAGGTCAATTTTTATACTTGTTGTGCATTTGTTAGTTAATTGCATTAAATATAAAATGGCAACTGTTCTACCATTCCCAAACAAAGAAGTGTCAGCAGCGTTCTCCAGATCTAACAGTGGATTCATGCTGAGTCTACTAAAACAGTTACCATCGCAATCCAATATTTTCTACTCACCTTTCAGTATTTCAACAGCCCTAGCAATGGTCCATATGGGGGCAAGGACAGACACTCTGAAAGAAATGAGTCAAGCCCTTCATTTTGAGGAAATGGACAAAGATGTGCACACAGCATTTGCTTCTTATCTTGATTTCTTGTCTAAGGAAACTGGTAATTGCACACTTAAAACTGCAAATAGAATCTATCAAAGCATGAGATTCAAACCGAAGGAATCTTTCCTACAAAACTGCAATAAACATTTTAAAGCTACAGTAGAGGCGGTGGATTTCTCTCAGTCTGAAGAAGCCAGGAAGAAAATTAATTCCTGGGTTAGCCAGCATACTGAAAATAAAATCCGAGATCTGATCCCAGCCAGAGCGCTAAATAGTGCTACATTCATGGTTCTAGTCAATGCCATCTACTTCAAAGGAAACTGGAACAGTAAATTTGAAAGCAAACACACAGAAATAATGGAATTCCAGAACACCAATGAGAAATTCATGACAGACATGATGCATCAGAAGGCCTCTTTCAAATTTTGCCACATGCCAGACTTGATGCTAAATGCCCTTCAATTGCCATACCAAGGAAAAACCCTCAGCATGCTGATTCTTTTACCCACAGCTGTAGATGGTATAGAGAGTCTGGAGAAAAATTTAACTGAGTCTGTCCTCAAAACTTTCAACTTTAAAGTTGATAGCTCCAACTTTAATGTTGGCTTTTCCGACTTTAAAGTTGGATATACCATCTTTAATTTTGGCTTTTCCAGCTTTAAAGTTAGCTTTTCCAACTTTAAAGTTGACTTTTCCAAATTTAGAATTGGTAATTCCAACTTTAAAGTTGGCTTTTCCAACTTTAAAGTTGACTTTTTCAACTTTAATATGTGTTTTTCTATCTTTGTACGGCTTTATGCGTTATATCTAAATATTTGTACCTGTAGCTGGACTTGTGTTGCTGTGTTTTACACGTAATTACAATGGAAAGAAGCAATTTAATTATAAGAAATTATGATGAAGGAAGGAATTATTTCATTGTGCTTTCACATACAGGATTGATACATTTAGTTCAGTTGCATTTGTAGCATGTACATGTAATATGGTGTTGATTCATTCCACATATTAACCACCAAATAATATTTGTTTAAGATTATTCACTCATACAAAACAAAATATATTAATATCTAATTTCTGAAATAGGTTTGGTTGAAATACTGTCATGTACGGAGTTGTATGAAGTTATTCTCTGTATAATTATATAAGATGAACTAAAATAATTATAGAAGGTTTAAAAGTTGGAAGTTATGAGTAAGGTCTTAGGGAAGGTCAAGTTAAAAATAATTGTTCACCAATTTATTTCTGTGTATTAATTTTGCATCAATAAAGTTGGTAATAATTTAAAATAATGAAAAAAAAACTAAGGCAAAGGGCTAAAAAAGCTCAAATAAATATTGAAAAAGCCAAGATTAAAGTTGGAATTACCAACTTTAAGGAGTTAATCCTTACGTCGCGGGTTCGAATCCACTGCGGGACGTGGAGGCGAGTCATTCGGATAAGACCGTATAAACCGAGGTCCCCTGTCATAGTAGGTGCTGGCACGAAAAAGATCCCTCACTGCTCAATTGCCCTGAGTGCCGAGTATAAGTCAAAATTTGTAGCCCTCCATCGGCAAGTGGTGGGTCTGCATATGAGTGAAAAATTCTCGAGAGGAACGTTAAACAATAAACAAACAAACAAAAATGCCAATTTTTTACCAAAATAAAATTTTTGGCTGAAATAAATGCACCGCATGCTTTGCTCTTAAGTGCATGTCTTCTCTTCAACAAATTGGTTCACCTAAGCTCCACTAGAATGGAGCCTTCTCTAAATCTATATTTACTAGGCGAAATCCCGCGCAAGCGCGGAGAATTAAATTTATACCACTACCGACATAAAAATTCCAATAATATATATTGTAGTTTCTACTGACAGCTTACAGGCTTATAGCAGGAAGATACACTTTGTTCAAAATTCCGCATTTAGCTTTGGAGCAGAAGTAGATGTACGTCACCCCCCCTTTTTTTTTTGTAAAAACTTGAAAAATAACAATTTCATTAATTGACACGTTTATTGTGAAACCTGTTATACTATGTCATGGATATTGTACTTCAGGTATTCTTATTTCATTTCCGTCAAGGATAAAAGCAGCGATTTTTTTTTGTAAACATTAGCTTTTGATGCCCTATGTATAGACCGAGTATTTGATACAAAAGGCTGTATTCAGAAAAAAACCTGAAATGTATTGATTAAAGCACAAAAGTTTAACAGCTCATATTGTATTTGAACAATATCTTATTCATTAATTTTCTCTTTTCATGTAAATTCATAATGAAGTACAAATTGTACGTCGGGTTCTTTGCCACTATCCTCTTAGTGAGGAATATACAAATTTTACCGATAAATTTATTAGGAAAACCTACTATAGTCTTTCGATATATGAATATATTCGTAACTTATAGTGTTATCAATGATTTACCATTATTTCAATGACCATTCACACAAAAGTTTTTTTTTTATGTTCACGCAGCCATAATCGCCTCGTTTTTTCTTTTTAACATCGGGCTCGATGCTATATGATGTCCTAAAGTTTCCGTCAATATTAAGATCGGTGAATGACAAAAATAATTTGCATATTTCCCTTTTAAATCGGTTATCACAACTTATTTCTTTTATATCATTTAAATCAAGTTTTGATTGAATAATTCAGTGATGACATTTTATGATATAAATCAACGATTGCTTGTTGTCAGTTTCATAAAAAATTGTCAGTAACTTAGATCCGCCAACCGGAACCACCACCGTTTATGCTATTTCACGGCTGTTTATAGAAACTGAAAGCAGACTTTTAATTTAATGTATGATATTTACAATGCAAGTGAAATCTGAATATAGTTTATGGACATCATCTTGTATCTAGTGTATTCATAGAGGAGTTAGTAAGAACTCTGGTGCACCCGTTTCGGAGTTCATTTGCAAAATTTATTAATTTATAAGTATAGATAAATTAATGAATTTTGCAAATAAACTCCGAAATGCCTGCACCAGAATTCATGCTTACTCCTAATAGTATATGAATAGTATGAGATATGAAGTATGAGGTGATGTCCGTAAACTGTATTTAAATTTCACTTCCATAGTAAGTATCGTAAATTTAATTAAAAGTTTACTTTCATTTTCGATAAACAGCCCTGAAATAGCAAAAATGGAGTAAGGTGGCGGTTGCCGTTGTTACAGTCAATTTTCAATAAAAATGACAACTAGCAATCCTTTAATCATTTAATAAAACGTCATTTAAGAATTATTCGTGAAAAACTTGATTTTAATGATATAAAAGAAATAAGTAGTGATAAACATTTAAAAAAGCAAAATATGCAAATTGTTTTCGTAATTTACCGATCTTAATCTTGATATCAGTAAATTTCATTATATGGCATCGAGCCCGATGTTAAAAAGAAAAACGAGGCGATTATCACTTCATGAATATAAATAAGCTTTGGTGTGAATGGGTATGGAAATAATGATAGAACAATTAATAACACTATAAGTTGTGAATATGCTTATATATCGAAAGATTATTTGTATAAGTTGCGCTAAAAATTATCAGTAAAATGTGCACATATTCGCCACTGAAAGCATCATGGCAACAAACCTGAAGTACAATTTGTATTTCGTAATAAACTTGTTTACATCTAAAGAGAAAATGTCAATTAATGAATACGGTATTGTTCAAATATAGCTTAGGTTGTTAAAAATTTGTGCTTTAATCAATATATTTCAGTTTTTTTCCTGAGTACAGTATTTTGTATCAAACACTAGGCCAGTACATAGGGTGTTAAAAGCTAATTTTTACAAAAAATGTGCTGACAAATTTTTCAGTAAAATGTGCATATTCGCTTTTTTTTTTTTTTTTTTTTTTTTAAATTCTTTATTGAAATGGAATAAGAGCACCCTAAGTAAAATAATGAAATTGTTCTTACGGGGGGAAGGGGAGGACGGGGTGTATATCTTCTTCTGCTCCGAAAACTGACTGCGGCATTTGAACAAAATATTTGTTCCTGCTTTAAAGCTATATTAACTGTCAGTAGAAAATAAATAAGATATATCATTGGAATTGGTCTGTCAGTAGTATAAAAATTCAATTGCGCGGGATTTGATCTAGTACAGGGTGTTTCACAATATATGTCACACATCTAAAGGCAGAAAGAAAAATTTCAACAAAAGCTACATATACATTTTAAATATCATTTTAATCAGCAGATATTTAAAATATTTTTTTAAAGTCAGATTTATCCAACATTCTCCATTTCAGTTTCTATGACAACGATTTCCTAACATGTTATACTGCACGTGTTTTCCTTACCATTGTCCAAAATACCTTAAAGGACTCTTGTTCAGAAATTTCTGACCACTGCTTAGTACGTTTCACCTGATACTTGACAGATTTCTTGTTTATATCTAGCTTTTTGGAACCCCCAAAGTACTTATTTATTATTTTTATTTAATGATGCATTTAAATAAATGTGTCATTTGTGAACCACCGGTGTGTGCTGACATCCACTCCTCTCGCTCTTCCTTTCAATCAATTTTGCAAACTCTGAATGCCAGTTGGCTTTGCTTTAAATGCTGCAATGCTGAAATCTTGTATGCAGACACACTCAATTCAAATGGAAGATTTCTAAATACACTTGATACATTTACATTGTCACAATCCATTTCCCTAAACTCAGATCTAACTGACTTTCTCAAGGTTTTCTCAATGATTGACTTCAATTTGACATGTTCCCATTGGGGGCTGGGGGGGGGGGGGCAGGATTTAACTGTCTTTCATCTTTACATTGTTTTATTTAAACTTCTTAATTAACCTTAATAAATAAAAACTTGAAGAGGGTTTCCTGGTCTGGATATTTTTCTTCATCACACCCTGTAAAATATTTAGGATATCGTGCTTATAATAAAAGTGTACAAATTCAAATTTTGGTTGCTAGTTGTAACCCATTTTGAGAACAGCTGAAATTATGACATCACTGATTCCTAGCTTAGTCCTATTTGAATGGAATTTAATCGTGGTTTTTTCATTGGATATAGTTTAATTTGCATTGTAGAATCCAGATTTAATGTTAGAACATAATTACATCATCTGTGTACTTCATGGTATTATCATTTTCCCAATATTTTTGCAATATCATAATTTCAGATCAATATGCTTGTCTATGGTATTTTGGTATTTTTGGTTTCATGCTTGATATTCAGATTATGCCCATTTAGATGTGTGACATATATTATGAAACACCCTGTACCTTATAAAAGATTTCAAAGTTAATTGTAGTTAAATGTAAGTATCAAGATTTTCCCAAATAAAAAGAGCAAAAGGGTCATGATAACTAACAGTAATTGATCTAAAAAACATTCAAAGTGTAATATTTCATTTACATCAAGTTTCAACGGATACCTTTTCATTTTTTATTGTAATTTCACTTGATATTTTCATGATCATTTTATTTTGTCAATGAAAGTTAGAATTCTAGAAAAGATTTACCATAATACTTATAGTACATTATTGAGTATATCATTCCGTAGACAACGAGAAGAATACTGGATTAAGAAACTAGGCACAACCTTTACATATGGAAGCAATGACTGTGTCGATAGTTTTGGGAATCTTTCAAGTCCAGGCGTAATAAAAAATATATTTGTTTACGGTTACCCGACCGACCCTATATTTAATCGCCGACCCAATTTGTTTTTCGTCGGAAAAATCCAGAAGTCACTCACCCGTCAGTTTAACTTTTACATGCATCTTAATCGGTCAACGGTTTGAAATCGAAAGTACTAGAAATTATTATAATTAAACATAACTTAAGTTGAAAAAAAAATTCAGACACCAGTGTAATCATGTTGTCGAAATATTTACATGTAGGCATTGGTGCTACATAGTGTGCACCCTTTTTTGTTTAAAGATGACTGTTAAAGTAGGGACAACCAAAAAATGAAGTAAATTAAAAAAAAAAGGGGGGGGGGTCACTAGGGCCTACTCAGTTTGTAGAAAGCAAGAATAACACAGCACATAAAAAGACAGTGGCTTTAGAGGAGAATAAAATCCCCCCAAAAAATTGATGTTTAGGCCAAACAAAATTAATTAATAGTTTCTCAGGCCAAAAATTTCAAAATTCAATGCGACAGCCAGGTCCCTTTTTTTTTTAAATTATAATATTATTCAACTTTGAATAATGTAATTCCAAACATTTGTTTAAAAGTTAATTCATAAAATACAGTATTAACAAGAAATATATTGTTTATCTGATAAAAACGTCTATCTATTAGCATTTACGAAAAGGGGAATAACTCGAATTTCTTTTTCAACTTGAAAAAATAGAAAATTGAGTTATTTCCCTTTTCAAAATGTCAATAAAATTGATCAATGCGGTAGTTTTTGACCTGATGCGGCGGTGCCTGAGAAACTATTGATTAATTTTTTGCCTTAGATATATTTTTATTTAAAAAAATCATTTATTTAAATTTTTAAAGTTAAATTAACAATTTATTCAAAATGTACTTATCATTTAAATTATATATATATATATACATGTATATATATATATATATATATATATATATATATATATATATATATATATATATATATATATATATATATATATATATATATATATATATATATATATATATATATATATATATATATATATATATATATATATATATATATATATATATATACTGGTAATGCATTTGTATTTTTCATTAGATAAAGATTCAGATACATGTACAAGTAACTAAACCGAGACACGCTGCACGCCATCAATTCAGCAAAATTCCCCTATGCATTTTAAAACATTTTGCTGGGGAAAACACTAAATTATTAGTCAGTGCAACATGGAAATAAAGAAGAAATACAAAACAGTTTTACCATTGTGTGGTAGCTGTAAGGCAGTTGGCAAGAAAGATATTGTCTATCGCGCATATGGCAAGCCCAAACAAAAGTAAAGCACCACACAATGGTAAAACTGTTCTGTATTTCAACCAATTCATGTGAATTTGTAAATAAAAAATACAATAAAATAAAATAAAAATTCCTACCTTCCGACCCTATTTTATTTCAGCAGGTAACAGTAAACAAACATATTTTTTGTTTTGTCCTGCAAAAGACCGGAACTGCAGTAACAGTGAAACGGTCTTTATAGAAAATATGGTTTTAAAGATTTTTTTTTACTATGATTAAGTTTTTCATTTCTATCACTTATTCTCAAAATCTCTATTGAATAACTCTCTACCTCTATACGTAATTATTAAAATAATGTTATTATTCTTCTTTAAATCATATATTTTTTTTTAATTTTCCTCTCTTTTCCGAGAAAGAATGAAAAGCTTTGAATTTGTTCAACGGTTAGATAAGATAAGGTCATATAACGCATTTAACGACAAACCCATACTCCGTTTGTAAGTTTGTTTCTTCTTGAACTTCCCTTTGAGAATTTTTCACTCATATTGAGACGTAAGGGTCAACTCCCTACTTCGCAACCTTAGATCAAACACTCTACCACTGCACCGTGTGGGAGAGACCCGCACTATGTAAATAAATTATTAGAGAAAAGGAAATATGTACACTTTTTGTATTTTTAGCAAACTTTTTAAAAATGATTAATAACAAAATGCACATTCATCAATTATAAATAAATAAATGGCATGCTTTCCTGTAGCAATGCCTGTGCAACTTGGAATGATAATTATACACTGCGATTATGAAAGGTACATATTGTTAGCCTTATGTAGCGGTACATCATAAAAAGGACAGGATAGAAAATATATTTTAAAAAAAACCAGATCGTTTACTGGCTTTAGGAACTGGAGAATTGTTGGTAATACTATTCAAGAATAAACATTTTTTTCCCATTAAGCTAACAATTCAACGAATAGAGGCTAAAACACTCAATATTTTTCAAGGGAATTTGAGTCAATCGAACACCCTCAATCTTTAAATATTTTCCAGTAGTCGTTGTCACAGGTTTTTCCCTTTTCTTAAAAAAAAGGTGAAGAATATACCCAAATGATTGTGAAAAGTGATAAAGGTATATACCTTTCTCCACAATTTTATGAAAGATTTTGTTTCTATTAGTACTACTTCTATTGATCTTTTTGCACTTAGAAAAGATTTAATGATTATATGTAACTGTTTTAGAATTACTTTCAGAATTACTGCGTAACTGTATATTTTTATTTTTAAAATTGTTTTATGGAAATATTACATGAATTTTAAAACATCAACCATCAAAAAAATATAAGAATTATTAAAAAATGCTATAAAAATGAATACATATAATTTCATAATAAATATATAACAAGCTGTAAACACAACCTTCGGTCTATGACTTGGACAACATATTATCAAGTGTTATACTTATTTTGCTTGCAGCTATTGACATCTTAGCAATTTTGCATTCCTTCAAAAAAGTTGTCTGTCGTTCACATCATCATGCGTACGGTTGCGTATTTTCAATAGCTGAGTCAAACTTAACTATGACGTATTACGACGTAGGTTCTACGTTAAATATTTATATCCGCCTCGTAATATTATTACCAAGGGCATTATTTTTTCTACTGCTTTATGTGTTCCTTTAATTCATCGCTCGAATGATTAAGCTTAAAATTTCTTCTGCAAGACAACACTTGGTATTTGTCATGTGTAGTATTGTGTTATGTTTAAAGGTGCGCATATCAGACAAGGAAGTCAACATTCAATTATAACTGGAATTACCCTCTATCTTTCTGCAGGCAATTAATTATACTGACATTCTCCTAGACTATATGAAGGATACTTAAGTTTTGAAAAAGTTTTGAAAAACAAGGTATGTTCATGAAATCTTAAGATATTTTGATGATAAAGTGAACCATCGATGGATGACAGTTAATGAAATATTTACCAGGGTATTTCAACGTAATCATTAGTTTAGAAATGTCATACATTTACTGAAAGACACTGCTAAAATGTATCCGTAAAGACATAATTTGTATCATGGGTTTTTGTGTCATTAGTGGTCATTGTGGTTGATTAGTGATACATGTGTGTCATAAATATAACATAAAGTCCTGTGTTCTATGCTGATAAACTAATTCAGTAAATCTTATTAGAATCAGACCACTAATCCCCTTTTTCCTTTTTTCTAACCTAATTTTTATTAGATTGACTTAGTATTTTAAGAAAAATCAAATACACTGAAGTAATATGACCCAGATGTCAGAAAAGTACAACTGAGATAGGAACCGTACATAAATGAATGAATGAATAAATACACATTACCGTTTGCATGCAGAAATATAATTTCTGTTCCTAATAAAAATATAAAAACCCAATCTTATAATGAATGTAGCCAAGAACAAATATATAGAGTTGCAATAACATTCATTACATTTTCTGTTGTTGTTTGGTATACCGTCTTCCCAAAAAAGAAAATATCGAGGTATGGAACAGCATTCAACCTAAAAAGTCCATTCCAAAAAAATAGTGCAAACACGGACCTCTGAAAATCAGAGGGGGGGGGATCAGTTGCCATGGAGGAGTGAACATTCCCTGCCGACCGGTCACATCCGTCGTGTGCTCCTTGTGATTGGCGAAAAACGAAAAATCCGTAGACAATTCAGTGTGTAGATAATGGCCTAACAATTAGTATGAAAAATGGGAGTCAGCATTTGACTTAATGATAGGTTGTATTTGCTGACATGGTCATTGGAACGACCATAAAACTTGGGAAATGTTGTCTTCAGACGAGACTGTTGTCTGAATAAGTTCAATACAATAGGTACTGTATTACAAGGAGGAAAATCTGGTGAAGAACAGCAGGGCTTAAGTTACTCAGGCGAGCGTTGTGGCCCATGTGCCTCTTGTTATGTCAAGGTTGAAGCCTTTAGGCAAGTCATTAAATCAATAAATATCAGTCTCAAAAGCCCCTTTTACAAGAAACCGTATATGAATGAAAAAGTATACATTTTGTGTTTTAAGAGTTTTATAAATTAACCCCCCCCCCCCAATAAAAAAAGGTATGAAAAATAAAAATTTGTGCATAATTTAATTTTTAATTATCTGTATGAATTTTTCAGTCAAATTCCAGGCGTAAAACCTACTAAGACAACAAAGTGGGAATTCAAGTATAAACAAAGCGAAGTATAGAGAGAAATTTTAGTCGGAAAATGTAAATTACCTCCGCCTTGAAAAAAAAATCCATCTGGAAACAGTACTCCACTGATATAGAGATACCGTCTCAACTGGCCGAAGTATTGCATAATATCTCCTTTAACCAGCATAATACCTCCTTTAACCAGCATAATACCTCCTTTAACCAGATGATTGTTCAGAATAATTATTTGTGTAATTGTGCTGAAAACTGAGGAATTTTGTTACCAACAAATAATCATTGAAGACTTAAAAGTGTACAGATCTATACTGTATATTTTGGATAATGAATGTTACATTATTGTTTAATTGTATGTTTTGAATTATCTAGAACTAAACAATAACCAGATGTAGTACACATATTACCTAATTCATGATTATTTTTATTAGTATAGTTAAATCAAAGTGTAAATGATTTCTGCATGACCCAAAAGATATATCAGAATTATCATTTTACAAACATAATAAAGCAATAATATTTTTATTCAATAATAATTAATTAATGAGGTCCAAATCTAGAACTTTATAACTGCCTAATGATGTTCCCTTTCTTATATATTTGGATCAACCACAAAATTTACTTGAAAAACGCGTAATTTTTTTCTTTCAAATGTCGAATTGCATCTTTTTTTAAAATACAGAAACTTCATAATTTATAGGAAAGAAATGTACTAATCAACCTACGAGTTACATACAAGTACATGATATTAAGTAAAAGTTTAATAAAATATCATATCTCCAAAGAAAGTCGTTTGTTAAACTGTTAAAATTAGACAAACCATGCAAACTTTTGTTTTTTTTTAAAGATAATGCAATTAAAATTTTGAGAAGAGTATTCCTAATGACAATATCATGGGTCCATGCTCCCTTTCTAAGGAGGGAATTCTTCAAATGAAATATGGAGATAACTAACAGTATTCAATCTTAAAGTCCATTAAAACAATACAAAACGAGAGCAGAGAAAACACGTTCTGAATATTTTTAATATTCTCAACAACCAAATTGAATTTGAATTACCATATTTATATTGGATTCTGAAACTTCATAAAATCCTTACAAACAAAGATGCATAGCAGGTTCCAGTAAATGTTCTACCAAGCTTCTTTCTTTACTCCTCACTAAAATATTAACAGCAGTGATGGAAAAACTTTAGGAGTACTTTGCAACAGTAGATTCGAGAAGTGGTGTAAATCAGATATGGATATACTTAAAAATTCCAAGGAACTTTTGGAAAATTTGAAATGACAAAATTTTACCAAAATCAATAGCATAAAAACGTACGACTTTTCAACCCTGTATACAACCATTTCCCACGATAAATTAAAGTCCAGGCTTTTTGACATCATTGACAGCTTTTTTTCAATAAAAATGAAACTCATAAATTTACTTACCTTGTCACTGGTCATTTGCATAATTATTTTGTCAAAAAACATTCTGAGTGTACACACAAGTACTCTGGAGTTAATACTAAAAAGATGCTGGAGTTTCTGATTGACAATATCTACAGGTATGTTGTTTTTTGGGGACCAGGTCTTCCAACAATCCATTGGAATTCTCATGGGAACCAATTGCGCCCGTTGTTAGCAGAACTTCTTTTGTATTCATATGAAGCAGAATTTATTCAGAATCTTATACATGAGAAAAAACAATCTCTTGTAGTGGCCTTCAACTCGATATTTAGATATATTGACGACGTATTATCAATTAACAATAGTTATTTCCATTCATATGTCGAAAAGATATACCCCAGTGAGCTTGAAATAAAGAATGCCATAGAGTCTGACACATCAGTTTGTTTCATATTTGGATATTTTACTAGAAAAAGACGTTAATGGTAATCTAACAACAAAGCTCTATGAAAAACGTGATGACTTTAAGTTTTCAATTGTCAACTTCCCTTTCGTATGCAACAATATACCCTTATCACCTGTATATGGGGTGAATATCTCTCAGTTGATTCGATATGCAAGGGCATATGCATGCATGAGGTTAGTTATTGACAAACAAGCTGATGAAACAAGATTATCATCAGTCTCGTTCAAAGTCATCATTTTGTAAGTTCTATGGTCGAAACAATGACCTTGTCAGCAAATACAATCTATCATGAAGTCATATGCTGACTGACTTTTTTCATACTAATTGTTAGGCCATTATTTTCACAAAGACTTGTCGATGGATTTTTCTGTTATTTCTAGATCATGACAAGGAGCACTTGGCGGGTCTGGCCGGTTGGCAGGGGATTCCCACTCCTCCATGGTACCTAATTCCACCTCTGATGTTTTTTGAGGCCCGTGTTTGCCCTGCTTCCGTATTTTTTTTTTTTTTTTTTTTGACTTTTGAGCTTGGATACTGTTCGTTATCTCCAAATTTCATCCATACAAATTGAAAGTGGTGAACAGTGGTGAAGAACTCTCATGTGTATACGAATATACATTACTACCAAATTTCATCAATATCTTTAGTTACACGCAAAATAAACTTTTTAATGGTCCTTTTTATGCATATAACAATTGGTACACAAATTAATTTGAGAAGTCCAGAAGGACCTACTGCTGCATTTATCCACATATTTTTCAAGCGGTTAAACTTAAGGAGTATTGGTTCATTTTGCCTTAAAAAAGGAAATGGTTAGTCACCAATATTTTTTCTTCAACTTTTGAAGATACAATAAAAGATTCCTGTTAACTGTTTAAAGTTCACACGATGATTTAATCGTTTCAGGTGAAGCTGAACCTGAATTTATAAGATGTTTTCCTCGTTGATATTTGTGCTTGTGTTAATAAATTGTACTGAATTCAAAATGGCAACTGTTTTACCGTTCTCAAACAGAGAAATGTCTGCAGCTTTCTCCAGAGCTAACAAAAGATTCATGCTAAGTCTACTGAAGCAGTTGCCATCAGAATCCAACATCTTCTGCTCGCCTTTCAGTATATCAACAGCCCTAGCAATGGTTCACATGGGGGCAGAAACAGACACCCTGAAAGAAATGAGTCAAGCACTTCATTTTGAGGAAATGGACAAAGATGTCCATGCAGTGTTTGGTTCTTATCTTGATTTCTTGTCTAAGGAAACTGGTGATTGCACACTTAAAACTGCAAATAGAATCTATCAAAGCATGAGATTCAAACCGGAGGAATCTTTCCTACAAAACTGCAACAAACATTTTAAAGCTTCAGTAGAGTCGGTGAATTTTTCCCAGTCTGCAGCAACAAGCAAGAAAATCAATTCCTGGGTTAATCAGCAAACGGAAAATAAAATTCAAGATCTGATCCCAGCAAGTGCACTGAATGAACTTACATTCATGGTTCTTGTAAATGCCATCTACTTCAAAGGAAATTGGAATAGTAAATTTGAAAGCAAATACACAGAAATAATGGAATTCCGGAACACCAAGGAGAAATTCTTGACAGACATGATGTATCAGATGGACTCTTTCAAATTTTGCCACATGCCAGACTTAATGCTAAATGCCCTTGAGCTGCCATACCAAGGAAAAACCCTCAGCATGCTAATTCTTTTACCCACAGCTGTAGATGGTATTGAGAGTCTGGAGAAGAATTTAACCGAGTCTGTCCTCAAAACTGTAGTCAGCAACTTGAGGAAGCAGAAGGTGGAAGTATATCTTCCAAAATTCAAAATGGAGTCCACCTTCGAGTTGAAGTCTTATTTGTCGGCCTTGGGTATGCCCTTAGCATTTGACGAGATTAAGGCTGATTTTTCAGGCATGGACAAAGGTAAAAATGTTTATATTAGTGAAATTTTCCATAAAGCATTTGTGGAAGTCAACGAAGAAGGGACCGAAGCTGCCGCAGCCATGGGTATCTATGTCTCTACCTCTTCCGTGCAGATTACTCCAGAGTTTCGGGCAAATCACCCTTTCTTGTTCTTTATCCGAGATTCTGTTAATGACGTCATTTTATTTGCTGGAAGATTTTATAAACCAGATGGCAGCTCTGTGAAAGACGAACTTTAGTTCAGAATTATGTAAATTACAAATTGTTCATTGATAATTATCAGAATATCTGTTTTTCAATGTAAATACTAATATTATGATGCACCGTATGTTTAATTAGAAGATAATTAATAATGTAAATAGATTAAATTTGTTTTTCAAAACAAAAAAAATTGACTCATCGCAAAATATTACTAAACATAAAATTGCAATTTAAGTGCAAAGGTAGTGAGGATATTAACATTCAAATATATTTTCAGGAAACATACGAAATTTGATGGCTAAGGCTTACGTTATCCCAACAAGAATCGTTCAGAGCTGATTTAAATCAAAATTGATTATCTCAGCTTAAGTATTTTTCTTTTACATATATAACAATTTCATAACGTTTTAAACTTGTATCTCAGAAATTTTGATGATAAAATATAGAAGGAGGATAGATAGGGAGACAGAACGCCAAAAGTATCTTCTTTTGTGATTATGTTGCATCAAGTTTGGTGAAATTTTAATGTCCTGTCGCGAAATATCCACCCATAATATGCCTCTGATTTCTGGTGTTCTTGTTGCAAAGAAAAAATACCATCCAAAGTAATACTGCGATAAAATTATAAAACAAATGTGATGATCAGATAGGAATATGATTCTTCAAAGCTAAATGTTTATATAATCAAATCGAAATTATTCGAAATAATTATTCATTAACATACTCACATTTGATAAATATATCCCCATTCGTAACTTGAAAGAAATTTCAGTTTGACGTTGTCTTTACTGCAATTTTACTTGAAAAACTTATCAGTTTACCGATCAAGATTTATTTTCATTTAACTAGCTGAATGCATGAAATTGGTAAAGTTTGAAAATATGACGTCATGAGGACATAAACATATAATATAAATGCTAGTTATCAAAACTCAATCCTAACAAAAATTTACTATAGTTAACTATGTTTTACTATACATGTAGTTAACTAGTAAAAACTTTGATTTTATCATGAAAATTGACTCTGATTTTCTTTTTTTTTTTTTTTTAGATTTCAAAGCTTAAAATCTCTTAACTTTGATAACAGTGATGCATAAGTTTGAAATAACATGTGAATATACAAGAAATAGTTCTATTTAATATAAAAAATATATACAGGCATGGATTTGAGGACATAAAATGTAACAATCTGAAATCCATAGTAATATGCTTAGATTTACTATTGTAAAAACTTTGATACTCTACTAAACTATAGCTAACTATATTTTTTGTTAGAGTAGTTACCTCTCGAATTAAAAAAAAATATTAGATTTACTGCATGGCGTATTCTTGAAAAGACGTAGGTCAAAGCTCAACGTCAAGTAGACTGTAAGTCTGGTATTTTTTAAATTTGTCGTATTAAAAAAGTGCAAACGGTAAATAGCACATACCTTCCTTTTGTCAAAGAATATTCTGTATATCGGTACTATACATTATTTGAAAAGTAGGTTAAAGATCAAGAGTTTGGCAACCCTGGTATTTCACAAAAGCCATTCTATCAAGCAATACACGAACACCATATCAAATCCCTACTTCTAACAGCTCTCAAAATGTAAGTTGTGACAGACAGACAGACAGATTGACAGACTGTTAGACAGTCAGACAGACGCCCGGTAAAGTGATCCCCAAGTGGTCCTCTGCTCTGAAGATGACCCATTATGCAGTATATTCTTATACCTCAAGTTATCATAAAACAGAAACACTATGATCAAAAACATTGGTACACCATCAAAATTGCCAATTCTTCAACAACAACAAAAAAAAAAAATTGGCTGAACTAAATGCACCGCATGCTCTGCTCTGTACGTAGCAGGTATTACAGACTACTGAAAGAATACTCCAAAACTGTAAATTATAAACATTTCAGCATAGTAAGTTATTTAAATCTTTTATAAACGATTAAATAAAAAATAACGAAGCAATGTGTTTATTTATAGTGCGCGGAGCATACACAGCTCTTACTGAGGTCGAGGATGACATGGTAGGTGGAGCTTATCTCCATCACTGTCAGTGGCTGATAAGGATTCACTGAGCACTGTTTACATATTATCGACAGTCCATTTGAACTACTTGAATATGTGCGCGTTGTGAATCAAATCATTTTGAAGCAGTTTGATTTACTGTAACTTTTGATGTCCTTCTATCATCATCTTGATTGTCAAAAGCTTGCCTCGTTTTAAAAAGTGTTCATACGTAGCGCATGCTCTTGTGTATCGAATCAACTGAGAGAAATAACCCATATGCAGGTGATCAGGGTATATTGCTACATAAGTAAGGGAAGTTGACGATGAAAAGTTGAAGCATCACGTTTATCATAAAGCTTTGTTGTTAGGTTCACATTAACGTCTTTTTCTAGTAAAATATCCAAATATGAAATAGATGTGTCAGAATCTGTGGTATCTTTCCGAGAGGTATCAATTTCTACTGTAGCCCTAAAAACATGCACTATTTATTTTATCGTACTGAATGTCTTATTGGTTTAGAATGTCAGCAAAAAACAACAACAACAACAACAACAACAACAACAACAACAAAAAAAAAAAAAAAAAAAAAAAAAAAAAACGGAGATCGTCGTTCAGTTTCCGTTTAGAAAGCTTTCAAACTCGCTAGCTGCTTCTGTTTTTCTCAATAAGGAAGTTACGCAAAAGATTTACCGACCTCTTTATTGTTTGTTTGATACTCAGAGAGTCATTTATTATCTAAAGTTTAGTTATTTCTGCACTCGCAAGCATTTTTCGTCAGTCGTTTGTTGTTTTCGATCAAGCTACATCTGACGCAAGCTGTCTTACAACTGAAATAAATTCCATATCCAAGTACAAAACATTGAATTTTCTGTTTATTACATTTTCTTTGATTTTCCCTTTGCCTCTGTCTTTTCTTAACACAGTGTCATAGGCTGTGACGTCATAGTTGAGTAGTTGAGACTTCATAGCTTCGCAGTTGTGAGATTGAAAACATTGTAACATGGATTTTAGCAACATATTTGGGAAGAAAAAGGCAATTTAAGTCTCTATCAAGATGGTTTAGTCACTATCTCTATCTTATTACAGACCAGAATTTAGTTTTTACTTACCTTGATATCCTTTCACACTGTGAGAGAATATCACTTGGTATCCTTTCACACTGTGAGAGAATATCACTTTTATTCAATAAATAGTAGTTCACTGTTGAAAATGTAATAAATCTCCTATATCCACACTGCGATTAAACTGTGTTAATTCGGTCTCGAACACCATGCAACGAATGCAAATACGATTAAGCTGATCCCGCCCACACTGTAACGTAGCCGTCCAATACTAGTATCTCATCGACAGGTCTAATATCTCACTCTGCGGTCAACATCGATTTTCAGTGGACCGCGCAGTAAAACATTGGAATTATTAGACTTTCAAAGTAAAGATTTATATAGTAAACAATATTAAAAGGAATAAAAATAGTGTATTTGACATTGCTAACATTGTTAATGAATGGGATATTGGCCAATTGAACCATATTATATTGATTTGACATTGATAACATTGTTGATGGATATTAGCCCATTCATTTGACATTGATAACATTGTTAATGGGATATTGGCCCATTTTACCCATATTGCATGGTGTTGTGCATTCGTGAACTTTACCCAGTGCTTAATTTAGCCCACTTTGGGTCGCCACTTTTGTTGCTGATGTCAATCAAAATCATTCAGAGAGAAAATCTGCATGCTGTTAATTTTTAAGATTGTATTTAATGAATAATGTATATTTGAAAAGTAAATAAGTGACCAACCAGAAGCATTTTATCTGAAAACAACAGCCAAAAAGAAGAGTGAAATGGATAAGTACATATAAAGCATTGTTCCTCAATGAATTGATACATTTAAAAACATGACACTGGTCTTCAATAAATGAGCATAGACGAAACATATGTCTTCAATTAAAAATAAAACGTACACGCAAAACATTCGTGCTCAATAAAAAAATACCAGACAATGGTTAGAAATTAGTTTAAACACATCAAGCAATACTCCTCAATGAATAAATACACTTGAGTCAGTTTTTTCTTACCGAATCAGTACACATAGACTACTAGATAAGAATGAATAATTACGCACGAAGCACTTATTTGTACAGTTTAAAAAATATCAATAAATCAATAGACCTTCATGATTAAGTACATATGAATCATGAATATTTTATTCAAAATTAAAAAAGTCAAATAAATCCCCTGGTTCTCAATGAATAATAACATTACATTGTATTTATTGATCCCTAAATAAAAAAAAAAGTTAGAAAGCAGTCCATAGGAATGATTTATTGATTGTATTTTGTTTAACGTCCTTCTCGAGAATTTTTCACTCATATGTAGACGCCACCACTTGCCGGTGGAAAGCTTCAAATGTTGTCCTATACTCGGCACTTACGGCCATTGAGCAGTGAGGGATCTTTTTCGTGCCAGCACCCACTGCGACACAGGACCTCGGTTTATACGGTCTCATCCGAAGGACCGGTCTCCACGTCCCACAGTGGGATTCAAACCCGCGACGTAAGGATCAACTCCTTACTTCGCGACTCTAGAACAGGCGCTCTAACCACTGCGCCACGCGGGCGACTCCATAAGAATGAGTAACAAAACGAAATCCTTAGGTATAAAAATGATTTAGGAAGACTCTTGCTGAATGATATCATCTGAATAAGCATCCTATTCTATTTTAAATTACCCTCGCCGTCAAGACACACAACGACTTTTTCTTCCTTGGTAATTCCAATAACAAAGAACTACAATTTTTGTTCAATTTGTACACAAGCAAAGTGTGGAATTGTCCAAGGCAATAACAAGGCAAGGAAAAGATTTTGTAAAAAAGTCCGATACTGACTGATTACCATTGTGTCGACAGATGTGCGGGACTGGCTGACTATCAATTTTTGTATTGTCAACATCTATTTCACTAATAAAAGCTGGAGGAGTCCAACATTACCTCGCAAAGGCGTAACTTACAAAGCATTGACGCCATATATATCCTTAACATTCAGTTACTACAACTGAAGGTTGACAATGTTCTTCCACATTTTTAATTTACTGTTTGCACATCAGTAGTTTAGAACATTTTACCTTCATTTATTTCTAACCTCTCAATTTAACAGAAATTTGAAGACATCAACATTTCCTAAGTAGAGTACATTATATAGCGCAGTCTTGTCTCTGATATTTAGTTGGCTGGAATAGTTGTTGATCAGATGTAGAACTATTTTTGCGGTGTTTTGTTTTTGTTTTAAATTTCTAAGCCTTTGTTTATAAGAAGCTTGAAAACACAAGTATTCGACGCATAGTAACTATATGTAATTTCTAGCTTTATAAATAAATAAGATGTAATGATAATAATGGTAATTTCATCCAAAGGCTGCCTCATATAATACATTGATGCCATCATTATCACTGATTTCTACTATGTTGTGGAACTTGTTGACCAGGTACTTAGACATTTATATCTTACATTATGACAACAAATTTTTAGACCTGTTTTTTCCAGTGTTTGTTTTATTTTGAACAAAACTTTTGTCTTACATTTGTATTTTCTTTATAGTCTCCATAATGAAGCACAGTCTCTCTTTCACTTGATCTCATTTCTATTAAGTCGTGGTACTTAATTCCTTACAAATTTCAATCTATCCTTTCTGACAGCACGACTGTAGAACGGTTTCTAAAGTCTTTGCATTATTTTGAAATTCTAACCCTCAGACTTTTCGAAGCTAAAAAAAAAAATCAATATTTCCACAAGAGGCTGTCTCAAGTAACACCTTTATGCCTTCATTTTCACAGTTATTTACCAGGTCATGGAACCTGATGACTAGATACCTACACATTTCTGCTCGATCATTCTGGTAGCACATATGTAGAAATGTTCATCTGGTATATGTTTTCTTTCCAACATCTATATCTTTGTCTATCAGAAGCTTGAAAACATCAACATTTCCTCCATAGGTTATATGTTGTAATGCATATAGCCTTCATTGTCACACATTCTTACCAGGTCGTGGTACTTGTTGACAAGGTACTTATGAGGGTTGTCCCAAAAAACACAAATATTCTCAATATCTTTTTTTTTTTTTTTACTAATACTATAAAGTGAAAATTTGGCAAATACCATAACCAGCATTTTTTTAATAATGCATAAAATTTCAATAAAATATCTCTATAAACTTAATTTTTCTCTCAAGTAAACGAATCTCACAATATAGCTGTCGGCGCAAAACTGACAATGTCAAAACTTAGCTCATGGCGTTTTTTTTTTTTTTTTTTTTTTTTTTGGTTTTTGGTACATTTAACAAACCGCGCCACTCCTACTTTTTAGATTGCGTCAAATCGATGCTTTTACAATTCTTAATGTATTTCCTATGTAAAATGTTGATAAGAAGGACACTTACATAATTTTTTTATCATAAGATTTTTCCAAAACCCATTTATTTCATAAAGTTTATGTATTATATGCATTATTGTATCCTCATTTCCTATGGCATTTAGATATTCTGGCTAAAAATGCAAATACAGAAACAAGGCACAGATCTTTATTTTTGAGTTACTTCCTTTAAAATCTATTATTACTCATAATGGTAAAGAGACTGACTGACTGTTTCTATTTTGTAATTTATTGGAAACACATTAGTTTTGTTTTAAAAATATTGGCATAGATTTGGTTTTAATTTATGTTGGCATTTACTAAATAGCGCCTCCTTCACAAGACCTAGAACCTGTTCTCAGCATTTGTCACATCTTTGCCCTTCCCAGCGTAGCTACGGTAAATAACGATCTGCTGACTGTCTGTCCCTTGACAACAATGTCCAACAAAGCCACAAATGCTTTCTTTCTTGTCGTATAGAGATGATTCTACCCGTTGAAGGAAGCACACTTGCTTTTATTTATCTCTGTAACATACGTATGCTTTATTGGTTTTCACTGTGTAGAGAATATTCTACACGGGAGATCACTCTCAATCACAGTTTTATAAGTAAAAAACCCCCACGAATTAAACCTTTTTTTCTCCGGATAACCGTCACTTGCCAATTTCCGAAACCCCAGTCATAAATTTACCCAACTGTTCGCATAGTTAAACGGCGGTAGCCACGTATGACGTCCAGCGCTTCGGACTTTTCAGTTTGTTGGTCTTCCAAGCGCTTCTTCCATCGAAGAACCAGTCAAGCCATCTTGAACTCGAACATCTAAACCTTTGTCTGTTAGAAGCTTGAATACATCATTATTTCCTTTAATTGCTGCCTCCTGTAATGCATTTATGCCATCATTGTCACAGATTTCTAGTAGGACAGGGTACTTGTTGACCAGGTACTTACACATTTCCAATCTACCATTCTCACGGCAGCAAATATTAAGAACAGTTTTTCCAGTGTTTGTTTTCTTTCGAACGTCTACATCTTTGTCTATCAGAAGTTTGAGTACATCTATATTTTCTCCATAGACTGCATAATGTATTGCATTTATGCCATCATTGTCACAGATTTCTACTAGGTCAGGGTATTTGTTGACCAGGTACTTACTCATTTCCAATTCAGCATTTTCACAGCACATATGTAGAACAGTTTTCCCAGTGTTTGTTTTCTTTTGCACATCTAATCCCATTTCTAGAAGAAATTTGAAAACATCAGTATTTCCTCCGAAGGCTGCATAATGTAACACAGTCTCCCCCTCACTTGTTCCCATTTCTAATAAGTCGGGGTACTTGTTTACCAGGTACATACTCATTTCCAATTCACCATTTTCACAGCAAATATGTAGGGCTGTTTTTCCAGTGTTTGTTTTCTTTCGAACATCTAAACCTTTGTCTGTAAGAAACTTGAAAAGAGCAATATTTCCTCCATAACCTACATAGTGTAACACTGCCCTGTCATCACTTGTAATCATTTCTACCAGGTCGCTGTACTTGTTGATCAGGTACTTACCCATTTTTATCTTACTGTTCTGACAGCACATATGTAGGACTGTTTTTTCCAGAATTTGTTTTCTTTCGCACTTCTAAACCTTTCTCTATCAGAAGCTTGAAAACATCAACATTCCCTCCATACACTGCATAATGTAATGTATTTATGCCATCATTGTCACAGAGTTCTACTAAGTCTGGGTATTTGTTGATCAGATACTTGTACATTTCCGATTTACCATTCTGACAGCACATGTGTAGTATTGTCTTTCCAGTGTTTGTTTTCTTTTGAACATCTAAACCCTGGTCTATCAGAAGCTTGAAAACATTAATATTTCCTCCATAAGCTGCATAATGTAACACAGTTTCCCCATCACTTGTATAGGTTTCTACTAGGTCGTGGTAAGTGTTGACCAGGTACTTACTCATTTACAATTCATCATCTGACAGCACAAATGTGAAATAGTTTTTCCGGTATTTGTTTTAATTCGAACTTCGAAACCTTTGTCTACCAGAAACTTGAAAACTTCAATATTTCCTCCATAGGCTGCATAATGTAACACAGTCTCCCGATCACTTGTATTCATTTCTAATAGGTCGTCATATTTGTTAAGCAGGTACTTACACATTTCTATGTTACCATTCTGACAGCAGATATGTAGAACAGTTTTTCCAGTGTTTGTTTTCTTTTGAACTTGTAAACCTTTGTCTATCAGAATTTTAAATGCATCTAAATTTCATCCATAGGCTGCATAATGTAACACAGTTCCCCCATTACCTTAGTCATTGTAATTGTTGGAAAGGTACTTACTCATTTCCAATTTACCATTCTGACAGCTTATATGTAGAACTGTTTTTCCATCGTTTGTTTTCTTTCGAACATCTAAACCTTTGTCTATCAGAAGTTTGAAAACATCAATATTTCCTCCATAGGCTGCCTCATGGGTTATTTAAAATTTCAGCTCTTATGCTTCCTCCAGAAATAAGAATGTAAATCAAAACAGCAGTTTTGTGTTCCTTTTCTTTAATTCTTTGTTTCATTTCTTCTTGCAAATGTTTCACGGGGTGTTCAAAAATTTTGCAGATATTGACTTTGCTTTCTGCTATGTTCTTTAACATTTTAATACGTTGAGGAATTCCGATCGTGGAGCCAAGGTTCCTGATCTTTAAAATTTCTTCAACGGACACCATTATTTCCTGCAAGGCGTACTTTCAAATTCCTCTCTATTTATTTTGTTTTCCTTGTCTGATATATCAACAATGGAATGGTAGAAAAAATCGATGTTTTTAATTGTGTTTTCACATTCTCTGTAGATATCATTCCGTATAGTTGCTACAAACATAGTGCCATTTCCTTGTTCACCACAAGACAGGTTAGCTTTTATCAACTTGACGCGATACGGCTCTTCGGATCAAGTTACTGTTATAATGATAAATTTATTATATACCCCTCTAAAACTAGCAAAATATAATAAAAGGAAACTTTTTGGATCAATTACCTAACTTTTATACAGTAAACAAACCATTTTGTAAAGGAACATTTTGATGCGTGAGAATAAAAACGTCATTTACCTGTGTACTACGTCATCAGTTTCAGAGAGGGGTGATATGGATTCAGAAAACCACAGTGTGGTGATCCGGAATGTCGGATCACACCGTCACGTGATTGCATAAATTCAACAGTAAAACTGAGTGACAAACAGTTGGGTATATAATAAAAGAGATGCTTGACATTTGGTAGCAATGAAAAATAATAATAACAAATAAGCAGAATCATACTAAAGAATTGGATGAAATTGACCTTTTTATTTCTTTTATAAAGAGCCTTTGTTAGAAAACCATCCTTCAATAACATCAATTTTTCCTAAATCAGCTAGATTTCTTTATTCATCACTTTCTGTATGTTCAAGTGAAACAAGCTTAAAGTAAAAACGGTCTTTTTGTGCTTTCTTTCTATATATTATTACACTTCCTGATAGCCTTTATAAATTTAAATGAAATATAAATATTACATACCTGCCATTATTTGTAACTTTGGACCTATATAATGAAAGTAACTTTTGAGAGAAAAAAAATGAGACACGTTTCTTTCAAAATATATCACAATTAAAAGTTAATCTCTAACAAAGTAATAATTGAACAGACAAACATAAAATCAATCAATTTTTATAAGAAACACTAAGGAACTTAACCCAAGCAAAAATGTCCTCATGAAAAACAACAACAAACTAATCAACAAATCGCGAAGAAAACTAAACATTGCGTACCAAAGGGTACATCATGAATGACAACAGTGGGCGAAAGTTCTACAAAAACCTTAAATCTTTCCGCCCGACAAAAGCATAAAATAGTGACACAATAACAGCTTAGTCTGCACAGGGTATATAAAAAAAAACAGCAAAATTTCAGCAACGCACATTCAGAGTAACAGCCCGGTCACAAGCACATCAGGAAGCTTAATTGAGCAGTCAGCACTATTCAAGGATTGTGCATAATTCAAGTGACACTTATGTGTTATTGTGATGTTTTAAAAAGTTCATTTTTTATTTATTACATGAGGGATTCACTGAGGGAAAGTACAGAAAATAAAATTTTTGCACATTTTTAAATGTAATGCTTTTTCATTCATTAACGAGTCATTTGTCATTTGATATTTTTTGTTCTATCAGTTTAATGATAAGTTTTTATTAATTTGTATATCTCTCTAAATATAACAAAGAGCACACGGAGGATGTGACCGGTCGGCATGGGATGCTTACTCCTCCATGGCACCTGATCCTACCTGATGTTTTAGAGGTCTGATTGCTCTGCCCCAAATTTGTATTGTTTCAGTGGACTTCTGAGATTGATTGCTGTTCGTTATCTTCCTATTTCGTAAAGAGAAGCGTTTTGTATTGATTGTATTGATTGACATCTCTAAATGAATATTTTATCTGGAAAATGGGATGTCATATACGAATGATATGTTGTACGACTTGTTTATTTATTTTTGTATCTTCAATATTAAGGCGTCTTATAAATGATACAAGTGTTAATCAATAATTGAATAAACAAAAACAAATCCAAAAAAAAAACAAAAAAAAAACAAACAAACAAACAAACAAACAAACAAACAAACAAACAAACAAATTTAAAAAACAAACAAACAAACAAACCAAAATAAAACGCGACTGTTTATGGTGATATAATTAGACAAAGTGCACATTAACATAGGCAAAGGCAAGCATAGAAATGAAAGGCATACAGCCTTATCAATTTCTTTTAAATTTCATACCGTGTGTAATTAGTAGATCGGTGTTGTTTCGTATCCTTAATATCTCCTCTGAAAAATACTCAATTATGAATTGATAATGTTTTTAATCAAATGTCTGGAAAATTACAGATAGATACAGAAATCTGCAAACAAGAAAAAATTAAGCTCACGTTTTAGATCATCAACCATCTTCCTTGTTTCTTGGTCCTCTTCGATATGTTTCTTGATCTGCTCAGCATACAATGTGTCACGGATAGGGTCCATTGTCTCATGACGCAGAATATCAAGTTGAATCGTGTGTTGACTTCTGTTGCTTAGGAACGAATCTATCTCCACGACTGCTGACCTGAGGTCAGACCAAAGAATGTTGAATTTGGTGTTTGGGAGTAAAGGATTGGTTAAATGTCCTATTTCATTTCGTGCCAAACGAATTCTGTCAATGTTGGCCGACAGAGATGTATCAGAGGGGGAGGGGCATTTCCCCAACCTTTAGAGTGAGGAAGTATATTACATATATTTCGTAATAGTAAATAAAGTAATGATATATCCATATCCTCGTAATTTCCAGCATATTTTCCTTTCTGAGGCAGTATCAGGCTTCTTTGTACAGCGGTAATACGTGATAGATTCGGAGTATATTGTTTAATGACCTGTGAAAATATATGTGGTGGTACCTTTTTACGTAACACATCACGAAGAGCATCCGTACAGGGACCAAGAAGAAGTCGACTCGCTCTGTTGGCGTTTGTAGTTTCCTCCGTTTTTTCAATTACATGCGGTCATACTGAAAGAACAGATATAAAATGTAACCATATAATTTATTATACAAATGGTTTATTTACTAAATTTCCCTGACGGTAGTATTGATTAAACAACTTTTAACTGATTGATTGTATGTTGCTCAATTCCTATTTGAGATTTTATCACTTCTATACAGCCATCACTATACATCGGTGAAGGAACTTCAAAATTTATACTTCATTCGGCACTAGGAGCCATTTAGAAGAGAAAGATTTGTTTCTAAATGTAAATATCATGAAATCCTTCAAACGAAACTAGATGCTATTACTTTTTTCTGTAAACATAAACTAGTACATGTAACACACTCTAAGAAGGGCTGCTAAAATGATTAAACGTCTGAACAGAAAAATGCATTTTAAACCGCATTGATTGATAACTTTTAACTTATTTTTCAATATTCTTTAAGTCCATGAAAATAGGTGTTAACTTTTTCTTGACCATGCGGTCTGCACTTTGAATTGAAAGTTGCTCGTCTTTTGGATGAGACTTTAAAAAGGAAATCCCGTGTCACGGCAGGCATTGACAGGATAAAGATTAAAGATGATGCATCTTCCCTGAAAAATCTTTCAAATTGAACCACGCACAGTTTTCTGTATTCAGGCTAGTTAATGTGGAACCTGCTAGTACATGAAAACTGGAAGTGCCTTTAAATTCGGGAATAAAGATTTTACCATCAAAGCAGACTCAACATGTGAGTCTAAAATGTATTTTACTGTATTATATGCGCTGGATGTGGACACCTCTATATAGGAGAAACTGGAACCACACTACGTACACGTGTCCGAATACACAAACAACACATTAAGCAGCCTGAATACAGAAAGATAAATCTAAGCTTGATATTTGTGGCCGGGGACATTTTTCGGTTTTTCCGTTTTACCAACTTAATACAGACAATGAGATACGAAGACAAGAAAAGGAGGAATCCTTTATCAAGCTGTTCAAAGTTTAGTCTTGTCAAATCGGACGATTTTTGGTAACCAGTAACTTGCTTACTTTTCCAATCGAGTACCCGGTTACTCGGATGCTTTTACATTTCGCCTTTTAACATCGTTGCTCGAGGTAAATATTCAATAGTAACTGTAAAATATGGTAAATTCTTCACAATTTCTAGAAACATTTGTATATCTTATCATCTAAGATATGGGTATAAATAAATAATTAAACAAATGCACACATGCACATTTTATTTGCAATTTCTTTTAAATAAATTTGTTTTTGCATAAAGCTGGAAGAAGAGCGACTTTTTATCCAACAAAATACACCGTATAATGGTTGACTGTTTTTGCATATTTCTTTATGCTATTTTACATGTTTTAGACTTCAAAGCCTTTCTTTAAAAATATTTTTATGGTTTTGATGTCTGAGACGGCATCTTGTTATCCTGTACTGCTGACTAGCATGGGTTAATCCCTCTCTCTCTCTCTCTCTCTCTCCTTCTATATATATATATATATATATATATATATATATATATATATATATATATATATATATATATATATATGTATGTATGTATATATTCCTTTTTTCCCGATCATGACAATGAGCACATGGCGAGTGTGACCGATTGAAAGGGGATGCTCACTTTTCATGGCACCTTATCCCAACTCCCATGTTTTTGGAGGTCCGTGTCTGCTCTGATATGAATTTTTACTTGTGCAGTGGGATTTGCAAAACGAAAAAACAAAAAATGGTATGTACCAAGAATTTACAATCAAACCTGAGTTGCGGTAACATCTATTGGTAACTGACATGTCGACAACTTGTTAATGTATCATTTTATGTAATCAGAATTGATATTTAAAAAAATACTTTGGTAATCATTTTTGTGTCTTCTGAAAAACTTCAAAATTTCACATACGATAATTTGGAAGCGCAGCAATGTTATTTCATACATAATTATGAGAGAAAGAAACAGTGTCGTTCATCAAATGTGGAACGCTTAGGGTGAAGCTTACTCGATAAGATCAATTTTGCTTTCCTACAAAGTTCAGAATCTAAGATTTATGGTAGTGCAAAATCTTACATGTCTACTTGGAAAGAATGCCATTCAAGACATGAAACTTCTGACTGTGAGCAGTGCATTTCTTGTCAAAAGTTGGATTCTAATAGTATCTTGGTAATTTAGGGTTGCACTCAAGTATTTGTAGGTACTATATGATTTTTATGATACGTTGAGTTACGAAAATGACATCGTTCTGAGAGATGAAGCAATAAGTATTACAAAAGCACTTAGATTGAATATGAAAATCCACCTATATAAAGCATATCTAGGATACAACAGCATGATAAGAAGAGCTCATGGTAACATATTTTGGCCGGGAATGAAGTTTGATATGAAAGAAATTGCTGATTATTAGAAGATGGCAAGATTTGTCAGGAGAAAAAAAACCCTGAAAAACTGTAAAGAACCTTTAATTCAGCATTCAACATGTGAATATCTCAAGTAGAAACTTGGACTAGATTTACTGAGAAACAAAGATAGCTCATGGTTTCAATAGACTTATTTCTAAATTTATTGAAGTAGATTACTTATTAAAAAAACAGCAAGCTAAAGAGAGATTTCTTTGCTCCTGAAGCAACTCATCATATTTTGAATATCAACCGTTATTATTTCAGATGGTTTTCCACAAATTGGACGTCAAGAATTTCACAAATTTGCATTGACTTTGAACAGTTTGTTGAATGTTGACTACAATCTGTCATTAACGATGCATTGACAAGCAAACAGAAAGGCTGAAACTGCAGTATTGGACATCAAAGCATTGAATAAATAGACAGGATTGAACAGACCCCAGTGAAGCAATGCTCGTGCAGTGTTTTGCCCCAAAGCAGAATACTGGTCTAAGCCTAGAACAGATGATGTTTAATAGAAAGATATATGCTACATTTCCATCAAGATCTCGAGAGAGCAAAGCCTTTGAAGTGGCGAGGCCAATTGCAAATCTAAGCAAGCTTATTTTGGTAAAGAAATCGCATGACAAGAAAGCACAGGCCTACCTGATGTTAATATTGGACAATCCGTATACATGTACTTCAAGTAACTGTATACACACCCATTTTCCTAGTCAGTTTGCAGTACATGAAGAATCATTCAACAAATGTAAACGTTTTTGAATTTTCTGGATCTCTAAATGAACCTCTAAGTGAATGTATGTCAAGCAAACAGAGAGTTACAGGAGCGGATAAACATCATTATGTACCGAATTCAATGTCAGAAAATGCAGATGGCAAGCCTTCTTGTAATGGTAATTGAAGAATACTCGAATTTAATCCGTTTTCCAAACTTTATTACATGTAACAGGCATAACAGCTTACATCAACATATGCTTCCACACCGACCTCCTGGCTGCACGCACTACCCATGCTAATACACACTGACACATGACAAACACTAAGAAACATAACTCTTGCACACAAACTCTTACGTACAATACACATTCAGAGTTACTTCCCTTAGATAATATCAATCCACTACAATACCCCCTTTTCTAGAATAAACTTTTACAATTCTCAATAATAAAATGTATTACTGGAAAGAAATTACTGTCCAAAATATTGATAGAAAACATTTACAATATACAGTCTTAGATATAGAGAACTTACAATCAATCACATTCACACGGAAATAAGTTTCACATTTCAAAGTCCTCAAAACGTTGCGGTAATTTCCTAATACGGGTCGACCTTCTCAGTTTCGGAGTTACTGGAGCAGAAGACGGAACATCATCACTGTTATCTGTAGACTCAACACTCGGTTCACTAGGAGTCTCTGGAATATCAGATGCACTTTCCGGTTCCTGATATTTTTTAACAAATTCACTATTTCGCTTCACTAAAACTCCCTCCGACGATTTTACGACACAACTGTTTCCCGTTTTCTGTACAAGTTTATACGACTCGGCATGATACGGCGTATCCATTTTATCCTTGACTGCTTTCTTCAATAGGACCGAATCTCCTAGCTCTAAATCACAATCCACTGCACCACGTTTCTTGTCAATATAAAGCTTGTTTTTGTATTTGGAATACACATCCTTATCACGCACTCCCTCATCATAAACATTTTCTTGTAGATTTTCTACTTGTGGTAGCTTTGTTCTCAGTTTACGACGGAACATCAATTCTGCAGGTGGTACTCCTGTTGTATTATGAGGAGTCGTTCTGTATGCAAATAGATATTTGCGGACTTCTGTCTTCCAATTCTTAGACTCTGCTTGTGCTATCCGAATTCTTTTCATCAATGATCTGTTTTGTCTCTCTACCTCCCCGTTTGCTGATGGATGTAATGGTGTAACTGCTCGGTGCTTGATACAGTTATCTGTTAAATAGTCCTTGAATAACTTAGATCTGAATTGGGGTCCATTGTCTGAAGTTATCTGTAGAGGAAGTCCATGTCGACAAAACATTCCCTCCAGTATATCAATGATTTTCTCACTTGTAATATCCTTGGTAATTTCAATCTCATAGTATCGGCTGTAATAGTCCACAACAACTAACACATACTGTCCAGATGTTAACGGTCCAAGAATGTCAATTGCCAATTCTTGCCATGGTCCTGTTGGTAAGGGTGTTGGACTGATTGGTTCTGGTTTCGGAAATGCACTGGTAATCTGACATCCATGACACGATTTCACATACTTCTCCACTTCCTTATCCATACCAGGCCACCAAACTTTAGTTCTTAACTGCTGTTTTGTACCAACAATCCCTAAATGACCCTGGTGAGCTAACTGTACACACTGCTTCCTCAGATTTCTCGGAACCACTATTCTGGATCCACGCAACACCACGTATCCAATACAACAAAGTTCATCTCGAAATGGGTAATAATCAACACATGACTTCTCCCACTTTCCCTCTTTGATAAAATTCCGAATTCTAATAAGTTCATCATCCCTCCTTGAAGCTTCTTCTACTTCATGAGTGGACAGTGCCTGAGGAGTTGCCTCCCTTGCAATAAATTTCACATATTGCTCAGTGTTCCATGAATTACTGTTTTCTACAGGTGTCTTGTCCACCAAACGTGATAATGCATCTGCGATATTCTGATGCCCAGGTGAATACCGCACTTTGAAGTTGTAAGCCAGAAGTTTTAATAGCCATCTTTCAATTCTTGCATTAGGTCTGGATTTTCTTCCATAAAGCACTTCCAATGGCTTGTGGTCTGTGATTAATTCAAAATCAACCCCGTATAGATAGATATGGAACTTCTCGCATGCCCATACAACTGCCAAAGCTTCTTTCTCTATTGTTGAATAATTGCGTTCGGCTGCTGACAATGTACGACTAGCATAACTGATGACCCGTGTTTCACCCTTGTTAACTTGAAGTAGGACAGCACCAAGGCCTACATTGCTAGCATCTGTCACTAACTGAGTTTTTTCTGCATCTAATTTGTAATGTCCCAAAGTTTTCACATTTGACAAACAACTCTTTAAAGTGTCAAAACTTTTCTTCTGTTCAGCTGTCCAGACAAATTTCACATTTTTCTTTGTCAGTCTTCTGAGAGGTTCTGCCACAGTAGCAAGATTTGGTATATAACGAGCACTAAAGTTTACAAGTCCAAGGAAACTTTTCACTTCAGATCCATTTGTTGGCTCTTTAGCGTTGAGTAATGACTTGATCCTTTCACTAGTAGGTCCTATACCATTCTTTGACAAGACATGCCCCATGAATGTTATTTTATTCATCCTAAATTCACACTTGTTTAAATTTAGTGTCAATCCTTTATCCTTGAGTCTCTGTAAGGCTTTGCGAAGTCGCTCATCATGTTCTGCTTTGTCACGACCATAAATAACAATATCGTCTGAAATATTCTGTACTCCTTCACAGTCATGAAACACTTGTGAAATCACTTGCTGATATTTCTCTGGAGCTGATGAAATGCCAAACATCAGTCTTTTATATCTATAGAGACCTTTGTATGTAACGAATGTAGTGATCTCCCTTGATGACTCTTCCAGCTCAATTTGATGGTATCCACTTCTAAGGTCCAACTTACTAAAAACTTGGCTACCATTCACCATGTAGAGTATGTCATCCACTGTTGGAATAGGATGCCGTTCACGAATTATGGCAGCATTGGCTTGTCTCATGTCGACACACAATCTAATGTCACCACTGGGTTTTGGTACGATAATGACTGGACTGACCCACGGTATAGGATCATTAACTCTTTCAATGATATCCTGAGACTCGAGTTCATCCAACTGTTCTCCTACTTTATCCCTCAAACTGTAAGGAATTCTGTACATAGCTTGTGCTACTGGTTTCACATTCTTGTCAATATGTAATTTCAACTTAAAGTCTTTTAGTTTTCCTATTCCTTGAAAACACTCAGAATATTCATGAACAATGTCAGTTGGCTGAACTGTGTTGACTCCAAGATTCAAAACTCCTAAATTCATAGCAGTGTCCTTGCCTAGTAATGCTGGTCCTTTACCATCCAGTACATAGAATTCTTCTTCTCTGCTGTTACCAGTTTCTTGAATTGATGCCTGCGTTTTGAATCTACCAAGTAATTTTAAGGGTTCCGTAGAACTGTAAGCAAAGAGCTTTTTCTCGCACTTCTCTGACTGACACTTAATACGTTTCTTCTTCAGAGATTCCCAAAGTTCTTTGTCAATAATATTTGCTGACGCCCCACTGTCAATAACGAACTCCACGGGATTTCCTCCAAGACTGACTGTCACTTTATCCGACAACTTGTCCCCTGTTTTAAGACTGAATGCATACACATCAGAGTCAGAATCCAGTTCAGAATTATCCACTGTGTGAATTTTCCCTCCTTTGCTTGGTCTGCTTGTAGCCCCTTTTCCTGATTTCTGCTTTGTTAAACAACATTTCATAAAGTGTCCAACTTTTCCACATTTTCTACACTCTTTATTCCTCGCGGGACACGATATATCTTTGGCGAAATGACCATCTCGTCCACAACGAAAACACTTATTACCTGGCTTTTTGTTCTGAAATTTTTGTTTCTGTTTGTCAGTTTTTTCACGATGTCCCTGAATTCTGTTAACTGACGCCACAATTTCAGTGTCCATATGTCTAGCCTGTACTTCAGTCATTTCATATGTAGCTGCTATTGTCCTCAATTGTTCTAAAGTCAAATCTTTTCCTTTCTCTAACAACTTAGCTCTTATTTTGTGAGACCTACACTTTTCAATCACTTGATCCCGAATTTGCTCATCTTGATTTGCAAAATCACAATACACTGCCTGTTGTCTCAATTTCGTAATAAACTGTTCTACTGTTTCATTCTCGGTTTGTGTTATTTTTCGAAAAACATAACGTTCATACGGCACATTCACTTTGTTTTCAAAATGTTTATCTAATGTTTTCACTGCAACTGTGTACACATTGTCACTGTCACCCGCTTGCACTTCATTCAATGTATAAAAAATGTCTTGAACTTCTGGTCCTGCACAATGTAATAACAATGCTTTTTTCTGTTCTGGGTCACTTACCCCTTTTCCAACCACAAAAAGTTCAAAACTTCTGTGCCATCTTTTCCACGCCTGATTTAACTGCGATGGTTCAACATTTGGATCAAATTTCCCAACTCCGTTGAGTTCTATGAGTGTAGCCATTTTGTATTCATCCTCGTCGCCAGTGAAGAATACTCGAATTTAATCCGTTTTCCAAACTTGATTACATGTAACAGGCATAACAGCTTACATCAACATATGCTTCCACACCGACCTCCTGGCTGCACGCACTACCCATGCTAATACACACTGACACATGACAAACACTAAGAAACATAACTCTTGCACACAAACTCTTACGTACAATACACATTCAGAGTTACTTCCCTTAGATAATATCAATCCACTACAGTAATGGATCAGATGCCAGTGCTTAGCTAATAGCGCATGAAGCGTCATCAAAGACTGTTCAAAAGTGATTGAGATACTGTTTAATTTGATTTGATGATTTTGTTAAGAAATTTTAAACAGTTAGAAATGTTAATCATTTTTTTTTTTGGTAAATGTTTATTTTGATTACTTTGTTTGACCGACGTCTTTCTCAGAAGAGGGATATTGCTGTAATCTGATCAGGCTCGGAATGTCAGTATTTATTTTTCTTTTGGTCACCATTCCTCATCAAATGTGTTCTTAGCTCAGAAATTGAATCTTCGCCCTTATAGGCATATAAACATGTTTCAATCAGTTCAAACAATGCCCTGAAATTTGGTAAAAGAAATGGTACTTTATAGCATTTACTACAGTTTTAGGGGTTGACATATTTGCAAATTTCCGGATAGAATTAGGGAATACTGTTGCAGAATATCACTCAACTATCTAAGTACCTTTTATTACATACTTTTTGCTGCTTAAATTTTTTTATCTATTTTTTTTTCATTAAAGAGACGGATTCTTTTTGTTTTTGTTTGTCAAACAATTCAAGATATTAATTTAGGTAATTAATACAAAAGATTCATTCTCCCAAACTCATTCTTTGATAAATAAATATGAGGACAATAGCACGTTTATCGTCCCCCAAGACAGCAACTATTTCCCGAGGCGCAGCCGAGTGAAATAGTTGCTGTTGAGGGGGACGATAACGCAGCTATGTTAAGGCTGTCCGAAGGCTTAATATGCATTAGATATATGCTATTTTATTATGAGCTATGTTTTGATTTCATTTTGTAATCTATGTATACATACACAGTTAAGTTGTAAAGAGAGTTGAATAAGGTATTATGAAAAAAAAAAACATTTTTGTGAGGTCACATGACTGTATTGATCACGTGACGGACACTTATAAATTTTCTTAAATGTTGCACAAAAATCGCATCGGCACAAGTGAATCAATGAAACGTATTCTTGGGTATATATAAAGTGCTGGAGGCAAGTCTGAATTTTATTTCTTAAGAAAATATTTCACAAGAAATTCAACTTACCCACATACAAGGGGTCATTTTACACTCTTCATCGCAATTTATACAAAATGGGAAAAAATTACATACAATCCCCCAGCAAAGTCAGTTAGAGGACATATTTCTCTAGTGGATTCACACAGAATATCTTCAATTAATCCTTGTTATTCACTTGTGCCAGTCTAATGTATATAAGATTTATAAATTCTAACTCTGTCTACGGACGTTTAAGGGGGGGGGGGCATTTCACATTCTTTTTTGTAATATTGTTTGAATACGTACATGTAGACAAGAAAACGGAATAACGATATTATACTGCAAATATTCACCATCATAACAGCATTAAAACAACAATCCAGACACATGAATTAAACATCAAAGTAAAAAAATTCTACATGTGATGCGAAAGTAATGTAAAAGTTATGACACTTTCACCGTCATGTCTGCTCAAATTTGCAGTGACTTGACGTCATATGTCATTATGACGTCATATCTTGGTAGTTCAGAGAAGTTACTACGGCTGGTACACTGTGACATTCTTCGGACAGCCTTATCCTAGCCGCGAAACGTGCTATTGTCCGAATAGTCAGTAAATAGGTGTTTTATTATACCGAAGCCGATTTTACTTTTTTACGTATGAAGTTGACATTAAAAAGATGCTCGAGTTTCTGAATGACAATATCTATGTAGTTTTTGGAGATCAGGTCTTCCAACAATCTATTGGAATTTCCATGGGTAACAATTGCGCCCCGTTATTAGCAGACCTATTTTTGTATTCGTTTGAAGCAGAATTTGTTCAAAATCTTTTACGTGAAAAGAAGAAAACAATTGCTGTGGCCTTCAACTCGACATTTAGATATATCGACGACGTATTGTCAATTAACAATGGTTATTTCCATTCTTATGATTCATATATATATATTGGATATTGTATTAGAAAAAGACGTTAATGGTAACCTAACAAAAAAGCTTTATGATAAACATGATGACTTTAACTTTTCAATCGTCAACTTCCCTTATTTATGCAGCAATATACCTTTATCACCCTCATACGGGGTTTATATCTCTCAGTTGATTCGATACGCAAGAGCATGCTCTACTTATGAGCAAATTCTAAAACGAGGTAAATTATTGACAAACAAGTTGATGAAACAAGAATATCAGCAGTCTCGTTTAAAGTCATCATTTTTTAAATTCTATGGTCGATACAATGACCTTGTCAGCAAATACAATCTTTCATTAAGTCTAATGCTGACTGACTTTTTTCATACTAATTGTTAGGCCACTATTTACACACTGATTTGTCGATCCCTAACAAAAAATACTATAGTTAACAATAGTGATAATTTTGACACTACGAAAACTTTGATTTACTATAGTGATAACTTTACATTTTGATTTACTATAGCGATAACTATGAAAACTTTGATTTTCTATAGTGATCACTATGAAAACTGATTTACTATGGTGAAGACTTTGATTTACTATAGTGATAACTTTGAAAACTTTTATTTACTATAGTGATAGCTATTACACTATAGTGATCACTTTGAAAGTATGAACAGCACTATTTCCAGCAATTGGTTGAAATAATATTTTACAATTCAAGGAGCAGGGCAAAAAAGAATATTATGCTAGACGTCATTCCCATACATGTTTGAGGAGGGTCTTGCATTTGATTCAAAGATAGCTGTTTGATTCAATTCATAATTCTATCAGGATGTCTTTTTAAATACCTTTAAACACATAATTCAACTCAACAGTCAATTTAGAGTTCAGTCGTTAAAAAACTATCTTTAAAAATAAGCATTGAATGATCTCTTTCTTTTTATTTGAACACAGCAATTTGACCAAATAGTTGGCAGACAAGTCGACTCTTTCGGCCTCCTACCTTCAAATTGACCGAGTGCCGATTCAGAATAAAAGAATGAACTGGTTAACTTAAAATAATTTAATTTTGTTTGTATTCTAGCCTCTGATTGGTTAATATCCAAAAAGGAACACAAATTATTTCTGTATGACCTGGTTTGGTATGGGGACACACCCCCTTGACAACCAGCTGAATCATCTGTATCCATATAATTCTCTCATTTCAAGTCCTCGGGATTGATGGAAAATTCCAGATTTAATAAATGTACCTTTAATTTCAAACGATAATTCGATCTTACCACATGTAACCAAACAACATGGCTGCTAGGCCTATGTATCAGTTTTTACCTCCCCTCGCTTCCCATCACTTCCGTTACTTCCGTTACTACGGTTGTATTATTGAGCGGCAAATTTGAACTAATAAAAAGTAACAAAATTTTACACTCATAGTTATTTAATGATTTTAAAATTAAATTATAAGGAATGACTCTAATTCTTGGCCAAATTATTCGAGTATAACCTGGTTTGGGTCAGTTTACGCTGTTTTATAATCCGCTTCGCGGATTATAAAGCGTAAACTGACTCAAACCAGGTTATACTCGAATAATTTGGCCAAGAATTAGAGTCATTCCTAAAATAGTAGATTGTTTTGCTTGAATTGTTTGTTTGTTAGTTTTTTGTTTAAGTTTTTTTTGTTCGCTTGTTTTTTTTCCTTATTTAAGGAAACAAATTACCGAATTTATGTTCTTCACTCTTTTCATATATCCATAATGTAGGTGTTCAATGCGCCTTATTGAGCGTTAATAAATAGTTAAATCTTTTATAGAAATAAAAACAATTATTTCCTTATGATGATTAAACAGGTTCTCTTTTTTTCATTTAAATCATTTCCTTTTTTAAATCTGGACAAAAGGATCCTAAATGGAAATTGCATTATGACAGAGCGTTTTAGTTAAAAAGCAATCTTTCTCGTGATAATTATTCTTAAAGTATCTATGCGCATTCTAAAAGTACAATATGTTGGTGGTATCATTAAAAAATTTCTGTATGCATATTAGAATCATTTGAATAATTAGGCCTTAGGGCAATGAATCTTAAAGGATTTCACTTTTGATCCCAGTCTCACTTTTCCACGTACCATTAGTTCCTTTTGTAAAATGAGACATGAAAGTAAACAGGCTCAAAATAATCCATTACAAGAATATAAATTTGGAGCAGAGCAAAAAGATGGGACCAGGTGCCATGGAGGAATAAGCATCCCCGGTAGACCAATCACACCCGCCTTGTGCTTATTGTCATAGTCGGGCAAACGGAAAAATCCGTAAACAAATCAATGTTTTAATGATGGCCTTACAATTAGTGTGAAAAACGTCAGCATTCAACTTAATGCTGGATTGTATTTGCTGACAAGGTCGTTGTATCGACCACGGAACTTGCGAAATGATGACTTTAAATGAGACTGTTGATATCCTTGTTTCACGCACATACACAGACAAAATTATTTGAATTTTTTTCCAAAAATGAAAGGGATTTCAAAACCCAAAGTCAGGATCACAAAAATGATCATTAATCTTTAAAACTCTTGAAATGTTGATAATTCAAAGTATGGATTATATTAGGACATTCAGACGTAATGACAGCGGTTACTCACCAGAAGTTTTTTTTTATCGTACTCATTATATTAGAGTGTATTTAAACAACCATGTACAGCCTTGGCTTTCTCACCAAGTATCACATCGTGCTATTTAAAAACGCTGTAAAACTGGGGATATTTTCTTTCTATATAAAACAAAGAATAAGATAATTTGGGAGATAGGTGTACATAACTGAAATTTGTGA